GAGAGCCAATCAGAGGGAGCGGCGCGCGGGCGGGCGCGGAGGCCGCCTGCGGCCGCCTCAGGCACAGGCGCCGGGTTTGCGTTTGGCCCAAACTTGCCTTTATTTTACCTAATTTTTAAGAGGAGGCCTGCTTTATGCCCCGTGGGTTTTGATTCCCATTGCGGTTTTTTTTTTCTGTTTTTTTTGTTCCTAAGAATGCGGTTTTTGTGGCATATGGGGAGTGAATCATGTTCTGTTCTTGGACTTATTTTTCTGATTTTAGTGAAATGTAAGAAATTTCAGCCCCGAAGCCTCTGCTTAGCCATGCCTTGCGCTGCTCTGTGTTTGTTGATGTTTCCTGAACCATGTCCTACGTAGTAGTAAAGTTCAAAATGGTTTTTCTTTTTGGGAAGTCTAGAATTAACTCTTCCAATAAATAATCACTCAGGTTGGAATCGGCCCCAACCAACATCCGTGCCGAGGTCAGGAGCCTCGTCGCCCGGCATCCCTCCTGGCGAGCAGGCACCCACGGGAGCCGTTCACCTCGGGCACGGAGCGATGCTGTGACCCCGGGCAACCGGGATTCGGCCACCGCTGGTGCCTAGGGCTGGCAGAATGAACCCAGGCATTGCTGGGCGCTTTTGTTTATACTTCATTCTATCTGGCTTTTAAAAACCCCGCTTCAAATTTTGTTAATTTTTTTGCTTTTTGCATTACTTCACACAGGATGTACCCAGTTACCAGCCTTTAAACTGCTTTGAGGAAACGAAAAGCTGTTGCACAGGGTAAAGTGATCATCTGTGATGCATGTCCATGACGGAGGGGGCAAGGTGGCACCGGTTTGAACTGTAGGAAATAAAACGGAGGTAAGGAATTAAAAAAATCCTTCTACTGGTAAAGATACTACAACGCTAGGCTGCCTAGTGTGGAGAGCATGGGTGCGGAGCCTTCATCGCTTGGGGCTTTAAAGGCGAGTTAGACAATGTGTTTTAATCGTTTAATCGCTCCTGCTTTTAGCCAAGGGGATAGCCAAGTGGTCTGCTACAGCTCTTTTCAGGCTTTTTTTTTTTCCCCTGAATAATTTGTATTCTCGTTTAAATTTATTTTGGTTTTGATTCCTACAGAAAGTACAGAGAAGGTGGGTGTTCTCTCTGGGTTTTACCTCTCTAGGCTGGTCTCAAGAAAACCATTGAGCTGTCAAAGCAATGGGTATTGCCCGGCGTAGCAAGATGTTTGTTTACATCTCAGAAGTGTGTCAATTAGCTAATGTTTTTAGGAGACCTCACTGCTAGCAGAGATGAAAAAGGATGAACTGCTTCCAAAGCTTCCACAGGCAAACTTGCAACAGCTATACATCATTAAAGAAGCCTGTCATTCCAGGATGGGGCTGAGTTTGTACTTGGAATCGCACATCTACCAGGCAGAGAGAGAGTTGAAAGTGACTTTTCAGTCTTTGCATCCACCTCCGCTAGGGAAGGCTGGCCTCAGGCTCGAATTCCTCCATGCAGGTGGGCAGTCAACATCTTCCTATTGCAGTCAAAAATACAGATTCTCACAAAGTCCTTGTTTAGCTTCTCTCCATAAATGAGTTATTTAACAGTAATTATGTTCTCTTGGAAGGAGCGGTTCCTGCTCACATTTGTGCTTTAGCCAATAATGTAGCACAAGGATGTAAAATTGGATGCCGCCTTCCTGCAGGCCTGCGCTCCTGCCCAGCTTCCTCTTTCGCTAATGCATGGGTACCTACGGCAGCATCTGCCTTAATTTCTTCATTCCTTTAAACTAGCAAGTGCTGGAGAAGAGATGGACAATGGTTAGCAGCCGTGTATACAGAAAACATCCCGAGAGTCCCAAGTAACTTGGGGCAAGCGGGAAGT